TTTACATGGAGAAATAAAAAAGAAAGGACTAATCCAATAAAGCCTAGGGAGGTCACAGTAATTTAGCTAAAAAAATAAATCACCAAACAAAATAGAAATTCTTCATAGCTCATAGCTAATCTGTGGAATTCTGACATAAGAGGATGTTCATGATAAAACCTTTACAGGAGTCTAAAAAAAAGTGGGAGAAGTTTATAGAAAAAAAAAATCTATTATGGACTAATAATCAAAGGTAGAATCTCTTGTGCAGCTAGTCCTTTAAATACTGTTCTGCTGAGGACTGGGAGACTAATAGAGCCCATAAAAGCATTTTATCTGCTGCTGCTGGCACAATGACATAGTTGAAAAACGAAAAAAAAAATGGAATAAAACATGTTTCAGATGCAAATGTCTTTGGCACAAAAAAAGGTACAATTTTTTTCTCTGTCTGTTCTTCATTGACCCATATAGGCAGCTGAGCCCTGCACAGCCACTTGTTCACTCCCACTGCAGTGGGATGGAGGAGGGGAATGGGGGCTGTGGTCAGTTCATTACACCTTGTCTCTGCCACTCCTTCCTCCTCAGGGGAGGACGTCTCACACTCTTCCCCGGCTCCAGCATGGGGTTCTTCTGATAGGAGGCAGTCCTCCATGAGCTTCTCCAATAAGTCGTTTCCACTGGCTGTGGTCCTTCACAAAGTGCTCCGGTGGGATCGCTTCCACAGCATGCTGTCCTTCAGGAGCAGGCTGCTCCAGGGTGGGTCACTCACTTGTGGAGTCACAAGTCTTGGAGCAAACCTGCTTCAGTGTGAGCTCTCTCCATGGGCCCACAGGTGCTGCCAGGAGCATGCTCCAGCACAGGCTTCCCATAGGGTCACAGCTTCCCTCAGGCATCCAGGCTCTGATGTGGAGCTGTCCTGGGGTTGCAAGCAGATCTCTGCTCCAGTGTGGGCTCCTCCATGGGCTGCTGGGACACAGCTGCATCACCGTGGCCTGCACCAGGAGGTGCAGGAGAATCTCAGCTCCAGAGCCTGGAGCACCTCCTTTCCCTCCTTCTTCGCTGTCCCTGGTGCCTTAAGGCCTGTTTCTCTCCCATATTCTCATTCCTGCTTCATGCCGCAGCTGCAGGGGGTTCACTGTCCCATTTTTAACTCTGTTACCCCAGAGGAACCACCACTGCTGCTGAAGGGCCTGGCCTTGGCCAGCAGTGGGTCCCTCCTTGAGCCGGCTGGCACTGGCTCTGTCAGACATGGGGAAAGCTGCTGGCAGCTTCTCACAGCAGCTCCCCCTGTAGCAACCCTCTCCCAAAACACAACCATGGAAACCCATTAGACCACAGACCATGCAACTAATCCCCACAGGAATGAACTTTGGAGCACTATGCTGTGTACCTATCACCTGCCCAACCTACTTCATCACATGGAAGATAGCCCCTCCCTGTAATGAAATTTGTTCCCTTGATATTTTGCTATGCATGCGTATTTGCTGCTCTTTAGAGTTCAGTCTTTGGGTTAAGCAGTGTTTCAACTTTCCCTGAATTTGACAAAAAATTTGATTCAATTACATAGCAAATGAAACCTTAAGTCTCCTAGTTCTAGGTCACAAATTATTCATCCTATGACTTGAAGCACTTGGTTTGCATCGGTTTGCATCAGTTTCTATCAGTTCCCTCCTCCCAGGTGCTTCAGACATTAAAAATGACTGAAAGTTTAACTTTTTTCTGTCACATTTGATGTTGGATTAGATATTGCCTTTGCCACTGTAGGTTCATGTCAGATCAGATACCATTTGCTCTCTCATCCCTGACACGAAGCCTTCATGAGTTCCTATCCAATCATCTTGTTGATTTGACATTTGTTTGACTGTGGGTCTCTTTGGGAGCTTTGGTAGTGTGTATGCAACACATCAGCAATATGAAGCTATGGCCCTATGGAGGTGTCCCTGCTGCATCCCATTTTCTGTGAAGTTTAAAGTGAATTAGGTACGTAGCTCAAATTAAATTTCAATTGATTTTGCTTCTTTTGACACTGAAAAAAACCCCAATATTGTTTTCTCCTCTTTTAAGTGTTTAAATCATCAGAAAAAGTATATAAATATTACTTGTGAATCATAGATCAAATAAAACTTAAATATCCAAAGCAAAATTTCTGAACAGTTGGGGAGTTGTAAGTTGCTGGTGAAGATAAGTGAGAAGATATTTACAAAATAAATACATATAAACTATAATAATTTGCTGGACATTTTGCTATCAGAAACCTTCATTTGCTATTTATTAAATATATATGCCAGAGTATTATTTAATTTTTTTTTAGTCAGGCACATAGGTCTATAATGCACAAAATCAGAATCTTGAAGGCTGCTGAAGATGACACTGTTACGTTGTTTTAGTGATATTGCATTTAACAAATTTGTAACAAAGTTAGCATCCCCGTCCAGAGTGCCTTTGCTGAATGCCTACTTGAAGTGTTTGCGTAGCTCAATTTCCATGCTAGAGGACAAAGGTGGTATATTATGTTCAGTATCAATAAATCTTATTTATTCATCTTTATTTGCTGTGTTACCTACTAGAAACTTGAAGGCAGCACGAGAATCAAAGCTAGATAGGATAAGTGTAAGATTTCATATAGTAGAGAAAATGTATGAAGACCATCAAAATAGATGAGAGAAAAGGTAAACCCTATGTTGGTGGCACTGAAGCCCAAAGATTGATTAATGGGTAAATAAAAGCATGTAACTAGAATTTTATTTAGGGTGTATTTTAAGAGTGGTATTCAGAAAGCTTTACCTAGAGATAATATATCTGGTTTTCTGTTGTAAACATTCAGAAGAATTTTCCTCAAGGAAGATGCCTAAACCAGACCAGAAATGCTTATCTATTGCAGGCAGACCTAAGTGCCTATATCTATTAATCCTGACTACTTTTCCTGACAGGTCTTTAGTCACCCTTGTGATTATTTCCCCATGCGTCAGCTTTACCTAACCACCCTTCAGCCTACAGGGACATAGCCAAAGTCCTCCTGCAGACAAAGGAAGAAGCTGTCAAGACATGGCACCTTCCCAAGGACACCAGGAGCTGCTGATGCTCTGCCACATCATTGTTCCTACTCTCTCCACAGAGATAGAAAGATGCCTCTCCCTCTTGGATGTGTATGGTTGTGTCTTTGCAGAAATACCATCTTTCCACCCTGTTGGAGAATAAATTAATGAATTTCTAAGAAACTGCCGAAACCTGAGCAGCTGCCGCTCCACCTCTCCTCAGCCAGACATCACCTGAGCAGAATATCTAATGATACCTAGCTAGAATATAAGGCTTAAATAAGTTAGGTGTTAGTTAAGATTCTAAAGAATAGTTCTCCAGTTTTTAATTCTTCATCTACATTACAATTTTCAATGGCCTTAAAAGCCTTAGCCAGATGGAAAAATTAAAATTATGTACTAATCCAGGCATTTCTTAACAAAATTAAATTATTAAATTATTTTCTTCAACTTGATGATGGAACAAAGCTTATGGTTAGTGGAGCCAGCCAAAGGGCAAGGAAGGACTTCCACATGAGAAGCCACTTGAGACACATCCTTGTCAATTTTACATTGCTCTAGCTCATATTGCAACACAGAAAAAGTTACATTATTTAGCAAGAACAGGAATAAGGCAGCCTCCTTTTTGTTGAGTTTGTCAACTGAGGTTGTTGGCAAACACAAACCAATGCTGACTTATCCCTGTGTGCTAACAGATACAAGGAAGCTCTCAGTAACATTCTTGGCAGTTGTGCTGTGCACATCTTGGAGCAGACTAGGGCTGTATTTATAATTTAGACACAAGTAAAAATATGTCTACCTTGAAAAAAATCACAAATTTAAATATATAATTTTTCAGAATAAAAATGGAAGATCTTTCATTTGCTTAATTCTAAATACCAACACTAGATATAGAAATTTCATTTTCATAAACCCACATTTATAATTGTATAATTCTTGTAAATAATATCAAATGAACTTTATGACAAATAAACTCCTGAAGACACCACAAAGGGAGGGGGAAAAATAAGGAGGCAGACAAAACCATACAGAGGAGTTTATCAGAGGAGTGAGGTGTGAAACACTCAAGCCAAAGTGAGGGAGAATTAAAATGAAGGTGTCTCTGGGCAAGTTGCCTGAAAATGCAACTGTTTATGGATAGCTGGATACCTAAAAAAAGAGTGAAAAGTCTTTTGATTAATCAAGGTTTCCTGATGACAAAACCAGATTCAGAGAGAGACTTTCAAACAATGTTAGAAGAAACTAGATGCTGAACCTTTAGAAGCATTCAGATTTCTTTGAAAATCCAAATCATGGTATGAACTGAGAGACTGAAAGGAAATTTAGTGATAAAATATGTAGAGATTAAAACAAAAAGTAATTTTCAAAACTTTGAGTGTTCCCTTGACACCAAAAGTGAGATGTAGATAGATAAAACCACTTATTACCATAATCAAGTCTTGCCAGTATTGTCAGAAACTAAAAGAAAGTAAGCAACACACACATCCCTTGCCAAGGAATAGTGTGACTGGAGGTGATCTTTCAGTGCTTTGAGATAATGACTGATAATTCCATTTGACCAAAAAAAAGAATAAATGCAGAAAACAGGCTTCAACTTGAACATTCTTCCTGTCTTAAGGCTTTTCAATGGCTTAACAAGATAAAAGAGTGAAATAACAGTTGCATAAACCCTTAGTATATTTTTGTAAATTGGCAATAGTTTCATTAGATGGGTATGTAATACTGAAGCTTTTATCAGCCATGAAGAAAAGCTGAAAAAGAAAGGTTTCTTAGATTTATAGATGAGGAAAAAAATCATTGAATTTGGCACAATATATGAGATGGAATTGTAAAGGTTATTGAATCCACTACAATAAAGAATAACATTAATCTTTGGTATAATGCCTTTAAACTAACTGAGACATTGTTTCTAACATGGGGACACTTACACTGTATAAAAATATTGTTAGGTTAAATACTCCAAGGGCACTCTATACTAAATCTTACCGTTTGTTTTTGTCTCAGAGAGCAACATTTTTTAAAATAAATTGTGTGGATTTCAAGTCATAGGGAATGCCATTATTTTCTACTATGTTTCATGGATTTCGAATTCTTCAGAATTTGCTATGTTCTTTCCATTTGAAAACCTGAAAAAAAAATGCAAACAAGTGTTACCTTGAAGAATTTTACTTTTAAGCACAAATGAACAAGCAAACAAGGAACAGTTGATAGAATAAGGAAGTCTGTAAAAAACATAATCAAGCTAAACCAAACCAAACCAAACCAATTTCACTGCAAACCCAACATTCAATTTTCCATTAATGTCTCATAGTGGTTACAATCATTGCAAATGCAATGTATGAACATAGTTGAACCTTTAAAAAACAGCACTTCCATCTTCCATAAAGTTTAGTATTGCCATGGCAGAACAGCTGCTGAAGGTGCCTGATAATTTCAATCTCCATACACGATCACAGACAGGCTAGCCCTTAATACTTTAAAACATAATTACCATTTTAAAAAATCAAAGTTTTAATTAGTTCTTCAGGAAGATGTGAAAATGTAGTCCTTTGATATGTAAACACACAAGGAAGGTTCAATCTTCCTGCTAGATACTATCATTAATAGCAGGCTCCAGATAGAAAAAACTGTAATCTTTTTTAAAAGCAAGTTGCAGAAATTTTACATCTCTCAGATGCTGAGATATTTTTGTAAATGATATAAAAATAATTACAAATATGGTCATTAACCAGTGGGGCTTTTTTGTGGTTTGGTTTTTTTAAATTTTTAATCCATAGAGAAGAGAAAAAGAGACAACTTGTAAATGTTAAAAGAGAGCATTGCCACTCCCTCAGAGGTCTATATTGGGAAATACAAGAAAAAAATCCAAAACAAACACAAAAGCTTTCCTATTTGGTAATATCTGTGCTGTCTTGACCACCATCTGTGTAATTGTGACATTTTCTGGTACTATACAAGAATATTTCCCAAGAGGGAGCTGGGACTCTTCACCTCCCTGAGAAACACTCTGATTCTACTCCTTGGCTCTGCCTCCTTGCAAGGGATATTAATTTCAGCTTTAGTTAATGTTTATATATGAGGACCGGAGGAACATGGTATCCTTCAGTGAAGTTCTTTTGTTGTGATGTCTTATTTGTGTGCTTAACATCACCAGAAAGTGCATCATGTAAATCACACAGCTCTTTACGCAGAGTTTACACCTTTCTTGATTTCAGTTTCGCAGCTTGAGATTTTAGGTCACCTGGAGTTAAAGTTTCTTTCAAAGTAACACTGCTGAAATGGCGGGCAAAGCAAAATTCTCTCAACTAAACCTCTTCTGTCTCCTTTTTGCCACAAGTGGAGAGCATTCAGTACCTGGGATCTTCTTTCTGTGTCGATGTCAGGTCAGAGGAAAAGGTGCTGCCAGCAGAAGCCTTCCAAATGTTTCATGCGAATACTAAGAACCAATCTAACTAAATCCCTTCTTAAAACCACACTGTTATGCAACTTTACTTTCTTTTATTTCAGAATTCTATTGAGTCCTTCAAAAAATCCTACAATTTCTTTACACTTTTTTTTTTTTTATTAAAACATATTGGCAAGAAGTTGGGTTCCTGATCATTTTTTTGACAGCCAGTTTTTAAAGAGCTGAGAAATTTAATGGTTTTGTCTCCTCCACAAGCACTGAAATTATGTCAATAAGTAAAAGGGAAGTGAAGACAGACGAAGTTGATGCTGATGGGTTTATTTAGTGTCCTTTGCCTAAAGATACTTCATCCAACAGGCACTATTAGGAGCCAGTCACCTGGTTTGAACAAAAGGTTTTTGGGGAGCAATTCTAGGTGTCCATTCATACCACTGATTACTCCTCTCATAAAAATTCACATCAGAGAGAGATTTAAAATAGCATTTTAGGTGCATTTTTATTAAACTTCATTAAACTTCTTTCTTTTTTTCCACACCACTTACTCATAATCTATCAAAAGACAATGTTGCAACTTTTGCCACGTGATAACTGACTCCAGCCATGAGCAGTTAGAACCCCATTCTCATTTACCAAAAACACTAAAATCCTGAGAATTCTCAGCATCACTTTTCCCCCCATGGTGCAAGAATGTTTGAGAATCCTAACTATATCAAATACTTTTGGTACATATTTTGGTCCTGTGCAATTCCTGCCATAAGTTTATGCTTTTTTTTCCTGTAATTACTTCAGATCAGAGAGAAACTGGCAAGTGTCAATCTTACTATTGGTGTAACATCTGCTCTTTAGATTTGTGCAACAGGGAAAGTTATTTAAATCCTTCTGCCACTAGAGCAGTCTCCTTTAGAATGATGGTCAGAAATCATCTTTGAAACTGATTTTTGTTAAACAAATTGTGATGTTGATAGCATTAACACTGTGTAGTGAACAGAACAAATTTTAATCTTTTTCGGGTAATGATTCTTAGTTTGCCATAGGTTTCTTTTTCACAGGAAAGCCTTAAGCATATGAGGTGGGTGCTATGAAAGTTCATGATCTTTGGTCACATAGTAAAAAATAAGACCTTGAAACTTTTAGTTGTGGCAGAATGTGAAAGACATGGAAAAGCATTCCCCTATAATGCTGACAGTTTTTATCAGTTTAAATGCCACATTAGTGTATTTTATGTGTGTTGCCTTGAATATACTGCCAGATTTCATAGATCTATTATCTGTTTTCAAGGCATGCAAACATCAAGTTATTCATTTAGCCATCTTACACTATCAGTCACAAGTTAGTGACAACCAGAGTTCTAATGTGCACATCTGCAGGAGTTCACTCTATCTGCAGTGTCAAGTGAGTCATACAATAATGGTTGGACTTCTAAGTACTTTCTACTGGAGTCTGAGCTTTAAATCAACTGACAGTGACCTTGCTGTAAGAGCTCTATTGTTGACATGCATATGTATTTGAAGAACACCATGTCCTCTTTCTTGCACTGAGGGTTTGGAACATTTCCAGCTTTTTAAAAATTAAATATTTTAAGCCTGTGCAGATTAAAATCATATAAGCATATAAGCAATAACAAGCATTCCATTTCAGAACAAGAAATCAATAAAATGAGACAAATTGATTACAGAATTTCAGATGCAAATGCTTGAAATCACCATGAATTTATGTCAAGGTTTAGCCTCTCACTCCTCCACCAGTGGGATGGTGAAGAGACTCAGAAGTGTAAGAGTAAGAAAGGCATGTGTTCAGACATGTCCAGGAAAGGAGTGCTCCATCACATGTAAAGGTGACTTGGAAAGACAGATGAGATCACTCTCAGTGTTTCCTCCCTCCCCTTTTCTTCTCCCAGCTCTATGCGCCGAGCATGATGCCAAATGCTGTGGGGTATCCCTGTGATCATCTGGGCCAGAGGTCCCACCTGTGTCCCCTCCCAACTCCTTGTGCATTCCCATTCCACTTGCTAGGGGATGGTTTGAGGAGAAGCAAAGGCCTTGGCTCTTGGCGAGCCCTGCTCCTCAATGACAAGAATGTCCCTATGTTATCAACAATATTTCCAGCACAATCCCAAAGGACAGACCCAGACCAGCTACTGTGTAGAAATTAACTCTACCGTTGTCCAAACCAATGCAATGTACCACGTTAGGCCCTTTTTGACTGATTGTTAACAGAATCTCTAATTGTGTAATTGCATTGCCACTAGCACCGATTTACATCCTATGATTCTACCCACAAATTCTAAAATTCAGATTTTGATTTTGTGTTAATGAGCTGACCCATTTCACGTTAACATTTCAATTTTTAAATTATTTCAGTGGCATACACTTCTCTAACATCATTGTAAAGGCTGTTAGAGAGCTGTTGTTACCTACAGGTATTTTAAAGAGCCCTTCAAGTCAAAACCTAGTCAAAGTCTTGAAGACAGTAATACAAATGAAAAGACTTTCATTTAGTTTTTGGAAGGGTCATAATACCAAACTTGAAAATTTCATAGGAACATTTTTTTTTGTTTGAAATTTGAAACAATCGAAATACTACCAAAAAAATCATGTGGAAAGAGAAGTAGCAAAGTATAATTTAAAAACCAAAAGAAAAAAGGAAATCAAGGGAAAATGTGAAATTTCCATTAGTTTCCTGTAATCTAAATGTTGTTATAATGGAGACAACACAGAACCACCTGTTTCATTGATTTTCTTTCAGTGAGTAGTATTAACAATGCTATCCCTTTAGACCAGACCACCAACATGCCCAGAACTTCAAGTTCATCCATTAGGTTCACAGACACCAAGCAGGATCTGACTCAGGACAGCCCTTTGAAAATATTAGTCAATAAGAATTGACATTCATTCATTAACTTTATTTTACGAAATAATATGTTGCCATTTACTGAACTTGTTTCTCCTAGGTATCTCAACTTTACAGAAAATTCCCCACTAGAATATTTTATAAGTAAAATATATTGATGAAACACTTCTGTGCTCTTCTGAGTTTCTTGAACATCAGCTTTTCAAAAAAAGGACAGTGAAAAGCAAATTTTTTTGCTTTTTTTGTTTGTATGGTATTCATGGAAAAAAGAACATTAAAAATGGTAAAAGAGCGTTAATAAAAGAAATTAATATCTAAAGATTTGAGAAGATGCAAAAGGCATTGGACAATTTGACCAAACAAACATTCAAAGTTTGCAAGTTTTTGGAGAGTTACAAATCTTCAGGGTGTATTTATTAAGTTACTGTTTCTGAAAATGGCATCTTAGTTTGCCTTGATTGATACTGTTAGAAGTTGAAACACATTGTGTTGAAGCAAGCATTCAGATTCAGATTTAAAATGCACTGGGTTATATCACAGTTTTTTATTCCTTTGGTAAATATCCTTTCTGAATGCAGACAGCTCCCACAAATCTTGAATCTGTGGGATATTTAAATCTAGGCATTTGACTCACTGAATAGATTCATCTAATCCCTCAAGCAATACACATATGGATGCAGTAACCCCTTTGCTATTTTGCTCAAATGCTCTGTAGGCTCACTAACAGTGCCAATGTCTCTCATTTAAACCAAATAAAATACCAGTGTGTTTCTTAGGAGAGAAATTTTTAGTGCTAAGGAACAAAATAAATCTTGACTGAAAAGCTATTTTGTTTGCTGCTCCCCAGCATTAACTTGGAATAACTCCTGG